CCCCGTCTTCCCTGTGACCAGGCAGCCCTGTGTCCTCACGCCTTCCCCAGCAGCTGCACTTGTCGCTGCTTTACTTCTTGGACAATGGAGAGGACGCAAGAGTACCCCCTTGGATCCAAATCAGCCTACGTCCCATGTAGAAGTCCATGTGGCCAGAACAGTCCAGAACCACAGTCTAAAACCAATGTACTAACTTCAATATTTGAAAAGTCTCTAATACTTCACAACAGAAGGCAACAGCATAATTAAAACTGCCATGTTGAAGCATGAAATTAATTTTTAAATGCTTACCTCAACACACAAAGAATTTTTTCCAGGTGTTTCACATCTGAACACTGTTCAATATACTTGAAATCCAGATGCTCGACAGGGATTTTGAATGTCTTTGTTGTTCCGAAGCCCCACAATGACGGGCAATCCTTAGCCGTCATGGCTGAAACACAGTAGAAGAAAACTGATGTATGTATAATGATTAGCTCAATTTGGGTAGTAGGGATCGCCGGGTGCTCCTGGAGGAAAAGGGGTGGAGGTGTTTTGAAGCCCTCTCTGAGAACAGTTATCCCTCAGGAGCGTGCCATCTCAGCCTTCCCCTTAAACAAGGCCGGAACAGAATGGCAGAGGGGGGTTTTGGTGCATCAACTACGCTTTATTAAAAAAATTAAATCTGATACTTCATATATAATAAGTAAATAAATCTTTAAAAAATTAAATCCGAAGACTTTCTTGATGAACTAGAGCTATGTTCCTGGCATGAAATGAAGCTGTCACCGACGTAAAGCAAGGGCTCCTTGACCCCTACCGCACAGACAATCGACAGAGCCTCCAGCAACAAAGTCACATGTTTTAAGAGCTTGACATGTGATAGTCACAGATTTTAAACTTTGTGTGCGGCTGGAGAGCTGGGCCAGTGGCTAAGAGCAGAGGACCTGGTTTTGATTCCCAACACCTACACCAGGCTCACAGCAACTCCTTCTGAATGACCTGGAGCTCTTGTCTGGCCTCTGTGTGACGCAAACATACATGCAGGCAAGACATCTACATTCATAAGATAACAGTTTACTTTAAAAATAAAACTTATTCAGTGCTTTTCTCAAGCTTAAAAATCTAAGAAAAAAATAAGGCAGGGCCAGGTGTGGTGGCACGTGCCTTTAACCCCAGCAGCATTGGGAACAGGTGGGTCTCTAGGAGTTCTAGGCCTGCCAAGGCTACCCTGTCTCAGAGTAAATAAATAAATGGCATTCAATATTTGAAAAACTTTCAAATTTACAAAATATGTCTGTCATAATAACTTTACACTAACATAGATGGGGGGGAGTTAAAGCAGCTTGCCAAAAGCAAGTTGGGAAGGAAAGGAATTTATTTCATTTTAAAGCTTACAGTTCCTCACTAAGGATGAGTTAGGACAGGAACTCGTGCCAGGACCTGAGGCAGGAACTAGAGCAGGGGCCATGGAGGAGGGCCGCTTGCTGGCTTGCCCCCACGGCTCCAGTTCAGCAACCTTTCCTAGACCTCCCAGGAGCACAGTGGGTTAGGCCCTCCAACGTCAATCAGTAATCAAGAAAATATCCCACAGACTTGCCAATCTGATGAAGGCAATTCCTAATTCCAATTCTCTCTTTGAAGATGACCCCAGTTTTTGCCAAGTTGACAAAAACAAGCAAACAAAACAACAACTAACCAGCGCAGACAGCTCAAATAACAAACTTCTGTGGCAACAGTTTAGTTCACGCGGTGCAATAAGAAGCCAACTATCAAGATTCACAAGCTTCTTCAAGTTCTGCTGAAATAGCTTTTTCTCTTTCTTTTCTTTCCTTTTTTTTTTTTTTTGTATGTGTGTAGAATCCTTAAACCTGTGGCAAATAAAAATGTGATTTTTTCAGCCAGGCGGTGGTGGCGCACACCTTTAATCCGGCTCTCAGGAGGCAGAGGTAGGCGATTCTCTGTGAGTTCGAGGCCAGCCTGGTCTATAGAGCTAGTTCCAGACAGCCAACGCTGTTACACAGAGAAACCTGTCTCGAAAAATCAAAAGAAAGATTATTGCATGTTAGCTGGGAGTGGCGTAGTGGGAGTGGCCCACTTGGGAGGGCCAGGAGTTCAAGATCACCCTCAGCTACATAACTAACATAGCCAGGCTGAGTTCCACGAGATTCTGTATATCTATTATATAACTCAACTTTAATCCTCAACTCCCAAAGGGTGGTTTATGCATTTCCCCCATACTTCTTTGCAATCTAATGCTTGGTCTTGGCTGGATTTGATTTATTCTCTATCATCCCGCTCCACAAACACTTCCCATATTTCCTAATCAGCGCATTAGTAATAACTCCTGTGTGCAAGCTGCAGCGTTTCGTGGTAACCCCAGTAACGGGAAAACCCAGCTTCTTCCACCTAGGCGGCTGGGCGCCCTCTGCTCCAGAAATGGGAACTGGCGTCCCTCAGCCATGGCAACGGTTTCCAGGACCCACAGGCTCCCGGCTTGGGAGTGGGAACCGTCTGGGGAGCCCGGGAGCTCGTTCTAAAGCCAACCTGCAAGCGTCTGTGTCGGGAGTCGTTCCCTAGGCTTGGGCTGTGGTCTCCAGGGCTGAAGCAGTTGGCTGTCCCAGGGACTCCAGTGTGGCGACTCGGCCCCAACTTCCACCACCGTGCGAACTGCAGAGTCTGAAAAGTTCCAATCCTTCCCAGACCGGAAAGGACGTTCATCCGACAGCACGCTCTAGCCCTGCGAGCGTGCCTGTGTGGTCCCCGCTTCGCGCCCGCCCCGCCCCGAGGATGCTTACCTGTGTCTCACCCTCCGCCCAGCTAGCCACGGAGTGGGGGCAGGTGCTCAACGAAGCTGGGCGGAGGCTAAGCCCTCCGCCGGCCATTGGCTATCCCGGCTGTCCACCTGCTGATTGGCCAGCTTCTGCCCTCACCAGGGCCCTCCTTCGGTTTAGTGTTTCATAGTGAGTTAAAATGCTCTGTTTTACTCCTGCTAAGTGGTGTCTACTCCTATACGTAACTGTAAACCTAGACTAAAATTCCAGACTGGGCGTTGCACCCCAGGTTTATTTACCTACTGTCCTTTCAACAAGAATAAATGAAAAGCAAATTTCCCTTTTCTCATGCAGCCCACATGCACCCACCCCACTGTGTGCTGGAGATACAAATATGATTAGGCATAAGCAATTCAAATGAACGAAACACGAGATACCGTTTTTGGAGAAATTTACTTCCATTTTAAATACATTTCAGACTCGTTAAAACAGATGAAGGAAGCAGCTGGCATATACCCAGCCGGTACCAGAATTCCATACATTCTCCTCCTCTTTGTGTTTAAGGACAGACAAGTCTGGGGCAGGGGCATGAAGAGTGAACGATAAAGAACAACGCTCAAGCTCTTACATTTACACAGCATGTTTATAGATGAAGACTCAAGCGTTAGGGTAATCCTTGGGCGGCTTCTCCAAGTTTGTTGTGGAAATAGCATCATAGCTCCATGTGTCGCAAAGACGTCACACCTCCTTCCGGCCATGATGCGAGTCTCAAGCAACCACCTGAACTTCCATGCCATTGATTTCCAGCGGAGAAAGAAACCGTAACAACCTGGAGAATGAATGGCTCTCATTCCGTGGGCTTTGTCATTTTCTTTCTACATTTAATGCTTTTTTTTTTTTTTTTTTTTTTTGGTTTTTCGAGACAGGGTTTCTCTGTGGTTTTGGAGACTGTCCTGGAACTAGCTCTTGTAGACCAGGCTGGGCTCAAACTCACAGAGATCCGCCTGCCTCTGCATTTAATGCTGCCTCTGCCTTTAATGCTGGGATTAAAGGCGTGTGCCACCACCGTCTGGCCATTTAATGCTTTCTTTGACTGTGTACAATCTATGCTGTATTGAAAACGGTCAAAACAATCTGAAAAAACACGGTGGGCAAGTGAGAAAGTACCAGTCCTCATAGAGTAAGTCCTACAACTGATCAACAAAGGTGTAAAGGAAGGCCTGATCAGGGTCACACAGCCAGCTCATGAGGGTGTTCTGGACACTTGGGTCCAAAGATGGATACCAAAGGCCATTCTACTTACTGAACTTACACAGCAAAAGTATGTAAAGCTGGGCCGGATGGTGTAGACCTGTATTCTCAGCTATGCGGGAGACTGAGGCAGGATTGCAAGGTCAAGACCAGGCGACAAGCCCAGCCAATTTAGTGAGACACAAAGTAGAATAATGATGGCTGGATACAGAACTCTGCGGTGGGGCCCTCTGCGCTAGCAGTCTCGTAGGCCTCAAACCAGCTATGTAGTCAAAGACGACCTTAAACTCCTGCTAAATCCTCCTGCCCCCACCTCCGAGAATCTCTTTCGTGGTCTGAGGGCTATGTGTACCTGTGTATGTGAGAAGAGCTCTCAAAAGCATGATTTCAGAGTGTATGCATGGGTCTTTGTAGGGTGTGAGATACCCAGACGGCAGTGTCTGATGCCCTGGACTGGAGTTACGGCTGTGGGGAGATAAACATGGATGCTGAGAACAGAGCTGGGGCCTCTGCAAACACAAGTGCTCTCAACTCCTGAGTCAGCGCTCTGGCCCAGCCACCTCTTTTATCCTATGTTTCATATTAATTTTGACTTTTTCCAGACGGCAAGCACAGTGGTGCTCTGGATGGCTGCAAACAAAGCAGAGTGGTTTCCAAGGCGCTTATTTCTCAGACCCTTAGAAAATGGTTCTAAAAGACTGCACTTAGGATTTTCCTAAGGCATTTTATTCTTTTCTGTGTAAGCACATACACACATGCTCAGGTCTGGGTAGAAGTTTTACCTGTATTTTATTTACTTTCTCTCTGTGTGTGCACATACACAGATGCTCAAGTCCTAGTGTGCATGTGGAGGTCAGAGGGCAGACAAGTTTTAGAAGTTGGCCTTCTTCCCACCATGTAGGCTCCAGGGCCTGAACTCAAGTCCCCTGGGTAGGTGGAAGCAGCAGCTCGATGGCCTGAAGCTTGACTCTTTAACAAGACTGAATGAAAGTGAGGTTTGGGGAAGCAACTTTAATCTTCATTGTGTGAGAGATTATAGGCACAATAAATTAAAAGTCATATGCTAAACCAAAACTTCCTTTATACAAGTATTAGAATACAATCACATTTCTAAAGTGAAACCATAGGTACACAATTGTAGTCGTAAAGCTACACAGAGAAGCATCAGTGGGGCAAATGTTTGAACGAAGACACTCCTGAATTTCACGTTTTCACCGAGCATCGAAAACCACCACTGTTGAACTGAATTAAGGATTTTAAACAGTACTTAAAATTATGCAATACTAAGGCTTCCAAGTCACCACCTCTGCACCAAGCTTCTATTTAATATAAAATAAACAAAAGAATGAACTTCACGCCGGGCGGTGGTGGCGCACGCCTTTAATCCCAGCACTCGGGAGGCAGAGGCAGGCGGATCTCTGTGAGTTCGAGACCAGCCTGGTCTACAGAGCGAGTTCCAGGACAGGCTCCAAAGCCACAGAGAAACCCTGTCTCGAAAAATCAAAAAAAAAAAAAAAAAAAAAGAATGAACTTCACTATAGCCACCAGCGAGTACCTAAAAAATAAAGAACAGCACTTCCATTTCCATTAGTTCATGTTCCACGACACAGAAGATAACTAAAAACACTGACGCCCTCGAGGTGACTTTTAAGAGTCTGTGCCAGCTACAATGAAATAATTTTCTTTCAATATTGGACTACTGTAGGCCTCACCGTCTTCCACTAGGTTATCAACTTCTTCCAGACTTCAGATCACCCATAAACTGACAATCAAGAATGACTATTTCTAAAAACAAACAAATAAGAATATTTATATATTCAAGCTTTTGAGTTACTTAGAGCCCATAATGAATGGCACATGAAAATGCTAATCATGTTTACTTTAAAAAATAAAAAAAAAACTACAGTTATTCATTGGGTTTTTAAAAACACATTTATTTACGCTTACTTTATGCATATGAGCGCTTTTGTATGCATGCATATGTGTGCACTGTTTGGGTCCCTTGTACAGGTGGAGGTCAGAGAAAGGGATCAGACCCCTGGAAACGGAGATACAGATAGTCACAGCAATCTTGTTGGTGGTGGAAACAGAACCAGACCCTTTGGAAGAGCAGCCAATGCTCTTACCTGCTGACCCATCTCTCTAAACCTTATTGGATTATTTGAGACTGGGCTCACCAAGTAGCTCTAGCTGACCTGGAACTCAAAAAGTTCTGCCTGTCTCTGCCCCCTAAGTTTGGGGAAAAATAAGCCCTATTAAAATAATCAATTGATACACCTCCTTTGAAGCCCCCCATGTTTTCAGTTCTCTCTCATCCTTTTTAAACCCATGCTCTTAAAAAAATAATCCAAATTATTACTACTTCTGTCAGAATTTAGTCTTTATCAACCCAAATAGTATTATTTCCTCTTTACATTTAGCAAGCATAGTCAAAAGGATACATCTTTTAGTCCTTTTCTTGTACATTATTCTGTATCCACATTCTCTGCATCTGATTGGATCTCTGGACTTTATTTCATTTTCGGTGTGACACTCTAGGAAATAAAACACGTTTATTCAATGTCTGAAAGAGAAACACTACAGGGAAGCAAATATAACCACAGATGTCACCAGGAGCAAGTCAAAGCACTGAAGCAGCCGTCTGCATGTCTGTGACTGAACAGATCAAGGAGAGAAAGGAGTTGTCAGCGGTGTGCCCTTTCCTGATGAAAAGACAATTTTTTTTTAAATTTAATGTAATTTTTTAAACATTTTTTAAAAAGACTGATTGATTGATTGATTACGTAGACAGTGTTCTCATTACAGAAGGTTGTGAGCCATCATGTGGTTGCTGGGAATTGAACCCAGGACCTCCGGAAGAGTAGTCAGTACTCTTAACCTCTGAGCCACATCTCCAGCACCCCCTTTTTATTTTACATATGAATCCCAGTTCCCTCTCCCTCCTCTCCTCCCACCCCACTCCCCATCCATTCCTCCGGGAGGGCCAGGCCTTCCATGAGGAGTCAACAAAGTCTGCCACATCACTTGAGGCAGGACCAAGGCCCTCCTCCCTGTAGCTAGGCTGAGCAAGGCATTCCTCCATAAAGAATGGGCTCCAAAAAGCCAGATCTCGCAATGGGAATAAATACTGGTTTCATGGCCAGCGCCCCACAAACTGCCCAAGCTCCATTACTGTCGCCCACATTAAGAGGGCCTCATTCGGTCCTATGCAGGTTCCCCGGATGTCAGTTCAGAGTCCATGAGCGACCACTATCTCGGGTCATTTGTTTCCCCATCATGGGAAAAGACGAAATCATAATGAGGGATTTTTACATTAACGATTGCAGAAGCGCTGCAGGTGAACTCACATCGATCCGCCTGCCTCTGCCTCCAAGTGCTGGGATTAAAGGCGTGTGCCACCGCCCGGCTACAGTGCTAGCTCCACTTTAATTTAAACATCAGTACTCAGTAAGGAAACTCTAAGTAAAACATCTTACTTAAACATTACTCTTACCTCCACAAATATATATCATCGGCTGCTGCTTTGGGGGTTGGACATCTTTCTGGGTATCCATTGTTAGTGCCTGAAATCAGAGTTAAAGACTGAATTAAAGGAGCCTTTACACAGAATCAACCTGGTCCCGTTTTCCCAGAAGCTAAACAAGTTTCTGATTCCCGGGATGAAGAGAAAAACTCATGAGTAGAATGTCTGCCCGGAATGCAGAGGCTCGAGGATCAAACCCCAGTATTCAGGAGGGGTAAATCGTAATCCTTTATTTGTTCTTGCCCCACAAACTGTGGGCTGGGTCTGAAGGCTGAGACACCCTCTCAACAACATTACACACATTATGAGTGTTTACTACACTCTCCAAGATCCTAAACGGTATACTCTTAACACGCGGACAAACTGAGGCTAAGCACAGGTCTGTGAGCCCAACATCACCCCACTACTGAGAAGCCAAACGATTCAGACCTGAGCTGGGAGCAGCGACTCCACCAACGCCTCTGCCAACACTAACTCCACCGGGGATCTTCTCATTAACCATTTATTGACGTATCTGGTCTCTGAGAGAATCTCCCCTCTGTAGCTCAAGGTGTCGGTGGAAGGCGGCATTTCTCTGCCTCTGCTTCCCAACGCTCAGGCGGCAGGCGCGAGCCTCCTCTCCCGGCCACCCCGGAACTTTCTAAGACCAAGCGTCTCTCCAGCTTTTGCCCCCCCCCCCCCCCCCCCCCCCCGATCCACTTCCCAAATCTCAGCCGACGGTCTCTTACCTCGGCAGCTCAAACAAGCTCTGTGCATGCAAAACCTTTCCCGGGTCCTCGGAAGCAGTCACAACCCGCGTCGTCTCGGCAACTTCCGGCGCCGTCTCTCCAGCTTCGGCGCTGCCTTATGACGCGCTGGAGCCCCGCCCCCTGATCGCAGTGCCGTGCGCCGGTATTCTGAGCCAGGTTGTCGTGTTTCGCTCCTGTTTGATTCCTGTGGGTTTGTTTGCCTCTCTCCCCAGCAGACGAAACATTTCCGCTGCTCGGCAGTCGCAGGTGCGTGCTTCTCCAAGGGCCGTGGAGCCGGAGCCCTGGACAGGCGCTGTGGAATCCTAAAGGAGCCCATTGCTCGGGTCAACACGACCGGGCGAGCCCGCCGGTAATTCTCACGAGTTCAAGACGCTGCCGCACTGCGGGTTTCAAACGGTTCAGTATCTGTGCGGCTGGGTTTTGTTTTGTCCGTTTTGTTCTTCAATTTCCAGCTCTCCCCTAGGCTCCTGTCACCCCTCTTTCCCACTCTGTTTTGGGGAGGGCAAAGATAGGGAAAGAGGAGGTCCGAGGCATGGTGTTCAGGCTGGCCTGAAACCCGCGCGGTCCTCTGCCTTTGCCTCCTCTGTGCAAACCACAGCTCCTGTCATCTCCCTCCCTTTTCGAAGGAAAGGCTTTCAGACAGGCAGCGCCATCAATTACTCCCACCCGTCGGTGGCTTTAGCTTTTCTAGTAGTATCCTCCCTCCTGTGTTTGTTCACACAAGAAGAAAGGTGGGGAGTTTGTGCGCTCTCAGAGATCAAAAGTTTAATTCAGTCAAACACACATGTTGAGTTCGGGTCATTTACATTCATTCCGTTCTTTTACATCCGTCATTTATATTAAATAACGCTGGCGAAAGCAACTTTAGTAAAACAGTTGTCAATTATTAAAAACTAAAGAGACACGTTCTCTCCCAAGACACATCCATAGTAGTTCACACTGGTGCTACTTCCCAACCCAGCGCTCTGTCGGCACCACTGTGGAACACACCCCACAGATGCTGGCCACCCCATTTTCTTTCTTTCTTTTTTTTTTTTCTTCTTCGAGACAGGGTTTCTCTGTAGCTTTGGAGCCTGTCCTGGCACTAGCTCTTGTAGACCAGGCTGGCCTCGAACTCACAGATATCCGCCTGCCTCTGCCTCCCGAGTGCTGGGATTAAAGGCGTGCACCACCAAGACGACGTTAACTGAGCATTCACTGAGTAACAGAATTCACTGCTCACTCTCTCCTAGTGAAGGTGGCTGCCCTGCCATCCTGAGGCCTTTAACCCTTTGTGTTATGATGAAACAAGACAGCATCCCCTTGAAACTCTGAATTTCTTTTATTCTTGATAATAGCAATTTCTGCGTAGCTTGAATGTTGAGGTCATTGGGAATAAACTCATGGCATTTTATTGAATAATCTCCAAAAGAAAATTAGATCTGGTGGGAAACAAGTAAGTAGAATTCTATCATGGGAACCTGAGCCAAGAAAAGGAAGCAAAGAAGCAAAAGAGTGTGGTAGATAAAGGTATAACAGGGCCAGCAGCTTGCTACGTAGGCAAGAATGACCTTGTACTTCCAATCTTCTGTCCCCACCTCCCATGTTCTGGGGAATAAAGGGGCCGCCATGCCTGGTTCTGGTGAGTTCATTTTTCTTCACTTGTAATAAAATGTCTCCCGAAAAATAAGTAAATAAGTGTCTTTAAATTTGAAAAATGGCAACCCAGTGGTTATTTGGATATTTTTAGCCATAAGTCAAAAGTTCTTCCTTGTTTGGATTGGGGTGGAGAAGTTAATAAGTAGATTACACCCTTTCTTTTCAAAGGAGAGTATGAACGAAATCCACAGCTACCGTAAATTAGGCAGTCGGGTTTCCCACGTTTGAGGAAATCGCTGGTATCCGCACACTTAGAAGGCAGTGTGTAAGCCTCACCCCTGGGGAAACCATCTTCATGACTGTAACATCTCCTCTGCCAGATAAGTTTGTCTAGTTAGAGTATCTGTTGTGAAGAAATACCACAATCACAGCAACGCTTATAAAAGAAAACTGGTGTAGATTACAGTTCAGAGGATTCGTCCCTTATCATCATGGTGTGACATAGTGCTGGAGAAGGAGCTAAGAGTCCAATAGGAAGGGAGGGCAACAGGAAGTGTACTGTGACACTGGGTATGGCTTGAGCATATATGAGACCTCCAAGACCACCTCCACAGTGACACACTTCCTCCAACAAGGCCACACCTCCTCCAACAAGGCCACACCTCCTAATAGTGTCATTCTTGATGAGCTTATGGGGGCAATAACAGTCAAGCTATGACATCATTGCATTTGTTTTGGGGGGGGGGCACTCCTGTATCCTAAACTGACTTCACCTCTACCTAGCTGATGACCTTGAATTTACAGTCCTCCTGCCTCCACCTTCCAGATGCTGAGATTCCAGCTGTGCTGCCACTATACTGGTGTCTGTTGGGCTCAGTCAGGGCTTCATGCATGCGCAAACACTCCAACTGAGCTCCATCCCCCACTCCAGATAACTGACTTTTAGAAGAAGATGCAGGGTCAGTGCTGCAGAGGGGAGGAGTGTCATGACTAGCGAAGACTCATTTGAAGAGACGGGAGAGTACCATTGACTGTATGTGGGAGTGTGGGGCGCATCAGTCAAGTGCCATGCGTCACAAGTTCATCAGGTACCTCTCTCCGAAGGCAGTTCTGTTACCCCCTCAGCCTACTCCCTTGTCCCCCATGCTGCCGATTCTGCTGACTGAGCATGTTGGTCCAGGTTGTTCCCTCCCCAACTAGCTGTCTTCCAGAGCAACACAGTAGCTCTCTGTTGCCTCCTTGCCGCCACCCTCACTTCTGCTCATTCTTTGCTGACACGCCAGTCAGGTCGCTCAGATTCCCCAGAGTCCCCAGACGAAAGGACCTTCTGTGATAGTCTGTAATGAGTGATTGGCAGCTTCCTGCTCTTGCATGTTAAGTTTGGAATTGCCTGTTGTCTGCCTTTTAGTTGCTATCCACCCATCAAAATCCACCTTACCTCATGGTGCGAACAAGTTAGCCCTGCACTCTCTCCTTGAGGGGAGTTAGTTGGTACTTTGGGCCACCCCATTACAGTACTGTCCTGTACTGTACTACTGTTACCAGGAGGGTGGCTGGATCTTCTTGCTCTACCCAGATGGAAAGACCAGCCTGCCAAGTGTTGGCCTTTGCAGCATTTTTCTCCCCAGACCTCAGCAGCAGCAGCAGCAGCAAGTGCTCCCCCTCCAGTTCTGGCTGTCCTGCAAGCCTTGTGGAGCCTCACCCTTTGCCCTTTGGCCCTTACAAAGCCAAGGGTACCAGGACCATCAATCATCTCTACAAATGTTACAACTCGTGCTGAGGACTAGGAAGTCTGGTCTCCTTAGCTCCTGACAGGTGGCCAGTGAAACCCATTCTCGGGATACTTGCCTTAAAATCCTGTCAGCTCTCTGGAGCTCTTTAGCCACCAGGGCCTGAGGCTTCTATTTTCTGACTCTACAGTCCTGGGTCCACGCAGCCTCTCTGCTCTCATCCTCTCCACATCCCCACCCCTCCCTCATTTCTGCACCTTGGGAGCTATGCAGCTGATCTTACTTCATGCCACTTCCCGTCAGCCTGCATTACTCAGGCTTAGCAGTAAAAGTGCTTACTGCCAAGCCTAACAAACGGGGTTCAGTCCCTGGGACCCACACACGCAAAGGAAAGGCTCTGCCAGGTTTTCCTACGACCGTCACACGCATGCACACATGCATACACACACAATCTAAAAATTTTAAAAATAGATAAATATAAAATAGAAACAAGTAAAAGGACTTTTTGTTGTTGTTGTTTTGAGACAGGGTTTCTCGTTGTAGCCCTGGCTGTTCTGGAACCAGCTCTTGTAAACCAGGCTGGCCTTGAACTCACAGAGATCCGCCTGCCTCTGCCTGGGATTAAAGGTAAAAGGACTTTTATTGGGGCTGGCATTGCAAGAGCAGGAGAGGCATTGAAGCAGGGCATTTCCTAGGCAACTCCCCAAGTAAACCAAACCGCCTGCTCATATCGTTTAGAAGAGGGGTGTATACTGCAAGTACAGTGCTGTCCTCTCAGACCCGCTCAAAGGCGTCTCTGCTGGGTCTCTGGGGGGCTTGCCGCTACTCCTCTGTCCTGAATGGGATGATTTTAGGGTCACTGGGAGGTCACTCAGGCTTGGGATAGCAAAAGTGCAGCAACAACTGGAACCACGAGGCTGCCCTGCAGAAGCTGGAGCTTTAGTAGAGAGGGCTGCAAAGATTTCTCAAGGGATCCGCGGACTGCTCAGAACACCTGGTGTGGCACAGACCTACGTAGCCCTCTGTTTCACTGCCAGTCCTTTTGCTCGCCACAATCCGGCCAGCAAGGGAGAGCAGAGCTGCTAATCAGAGAGCCCAAGTGCCCACACCCCAGCATCTTTGTTTACAGACCACGAACACGAAGAGTGACTACCACAGGCACAATGATTTTAAACATCTTTAAATGTGTATCTGTGTGAGTATACGCCATGTGACGCCAGCAAAGGGTGTCGGATCCCCTGGAGCGGCAGTTACAGGCAGCAGCAAGTACAACGTGGGTGCCGGGAGCCAACCTGGGTCCTTCGGCAGAGCAGCGAGTGCTCTTAACAGCTGAGCCCTCCAATCTCACCTGAGCTTTGGCAATGGTTACCACCTGCCCAGAGCCCTCGGGAGGGAGGGTCTCGCCTGCTCGACACACAAGCCTTATTAACAAGCTGTGGCCTATTCATCTTGAGTTTAAGTTTATAAATACGACACCTATTTTTACGACACCTAAGAGGCATCCAGGCAGAGAACATCCTCAGAGAAGAGGGGTGTGGCAGCCGAGGCTCTGAGTGAGAACTCCACTACCCTGGGCATGGTGAAGCACCAAGGTGGGATGTTTCATGGGTGTGAACCTAGGAAGAGAGGTCCCCAAAGCAAAGCAGCTAGAAGCTACCCTGGGTGACAGGTCTGTGTCTGGCCTCCCTTCTGCACTCAGGGAACGGTGAGTGAAAACTAGGCATTGGATGTTTCTGATCCCCAAAGTAGAATGTCTGAAAACTGAACACAGTCTCTCTTATGGATTCATAACTTTTGGTTGGTAGCTTTGTAGCCCAGGCTGGCCTAAAACTTGGTATGAATATAGAGCCAGTCTCTCTGGGAATCTTGCTGTCTCTGCCTCCTGACTGTAGAGATGGTAGTGTGTGCCTCACGACCTGTTTTTTATTTTTTATTTATTTTTCCGTTTACAAGATGTATGTTTGTTTGTTGTAGAAACAAGGACGAAAATATAAAAACTATTTTTAAAAGTCATTAGCACATGCCTATAATCCCAGCGAAAGGAGGGGGCAGAGTGAGGAGGATCACGGGTTCAAGTCCAACCTGGACTACACCTGACACTGTCTAAAAACAAACACAAAAGCAAAGAATGGAGGGGAGGGTGTTGTAATCTTGCTGGATTTGGTGGGGCACCTCTGTAATCCTAGCATTTGAGAGATGAAGGCAGGCGGATCAGGAATTCCGGGGCAGCCTTGGCTACCTAGCAAGTTAAGTTCGAGGCCAGCCTGGACTCCCTGGGACCACCGCCTCTCTCTCACCCCCAAATCAAATGATGTGACTACTTGCCTTTACCATCCATAGGCAGTTCGGTTGGCAGGCTGCTCTGACACCGAACGTCAGACGAAACTTTCTAGGGACGACCCCTTGTACAGCAAGGGCGCACGGAGCGACGCTGGGAGGGGCGAGCGCTGGGCGGGGCGGCGACGGTGGAGCGGGCGGGCAGCTGGACCGAGGGAGGGAGGGACGGCGTCCACGGGGCGGGGCAGGGGGGGCTCGGGACCCCAGGTGGGCGGCGCGGCTCAGGTGCGCTCGCCCTCCGCCCGCTGGGCCCGCGCCGCTCGCCCTCCTCCCCGCTCGCCCGGGTGACGACCGTTAGCCCCGCCCGCAGCCGACGGCTCAGGCCTAGAACCGGGGAGGCCCCCACGTCCAGGACTAGCGGAGGAAGGCCGGGGAGCGCGGCTGCGGCCGGGTGGAGACGTCCCCAGCGACCTGACTTTCCCCGCAGGCCGACGGTGCCCTTCCAGCCGTAGCTGTCAGGGCGCCGCTGCGCCGCCCGACTGATTTGTTCAGGTTTTTCTCTTTAAGGGGGTTGTACCTCGGCATGAACTTTAGAGACAAAGATGAGAGACTTAGTTATTTGGAAGCCTACCTTACTTTGACAAGTGTTAGGAACTCAAGGTTGACTGAGGGTAAGAGATTACACTTGAACGAACAAGGGCATCTACTTTTAACTAAGTAGTTCTCTGACCTATTGGACGTCTTTATTTGTAGATGCGAGTTCCGAGCCCTTTATCAGGACCCGTTTATTATTATTATTTTATTTTTTAAGTGAACATCAGTCAACTGTTGGGTCAGGATAATAAGCCAGGCGACCTATGGTTGCGTGGATATTTTTAAAAGTTTTGAAGTAGGAATTTTGGGGTACAGGAAAGATAAGAATGACGACAGCAAACCAAAGCCTGTGGTTTCTCGGGGAGAGGGCGCATATATGGGCTTCCCACTCTCCAACGGTTTCGGCTTCATTTCCATATAGTAGGCTGGCGAGGCACCTAGTGGTGAAGTAGCGGAATAGTTACGTTTCTTAGAAGGCCACATGGACACAAGCACCCGATCCAACTTCACCAAATTGATTGAACTTAATATTGTTACAAGAGAAAAGGATTTATGAGATGAACATAATTCATTAATATTTAGAAGGCATAAATTGTTTTAAAGTATAATGCAATTTGTTGAAAGCAAGGTTTAATTGTCTTGACCTCCTGGGCATATGTAGAATTTAGCAGTGATCATGAGGGATGGGGTCAAAACTGCCAAAACATGAGCAGAGGTTTAAAAATTACTTTGTTCTGAAAAAATGACTCTCTAATATTGTGTTTATTATAGCAATTTTTGTAATACTCATTTTTTACTCATATGCCTAACCTATGTAGCACAGATTCCCTAATCTCCACCGTATAAAGAAAGAATTGACTCCCACAAGTTCCCCACAATGGACTATGACATGTTTGCATGTCTGTCACACACACCCACAGATAAAGAATAAGAATGATTTCAAGAGCCAGGTCGTAGTGACATACCCCTTTAATCCCCGTGCTCTGGAGGCGGAGGTAGGTGTATATCTTTGAGTTTGAGGTACCTGGTCTACAAGGTGAGTTCCAAAACAGTTAGATAGAGCTGTTACACAGAGAAGCCTGTCTCACGGAAAACAAAACAAACAAGAATATTTCAATAAAATATTTGCACAGTGCATTGCCCACAGTTGTCAAGTAATCAGGATATTTGCCTTCTGGTTTTATAGCAAGGTGCTGTTTTAATTAGGAAATATATGATGGTATATTATGGGGGTTTTCTTTTTAACTAACTTCTGAAAAAATTGTTATATATAATTTCCCATTCTCTGTATTTAACACAAATAATATATTTTGGCGTAAGCTGCTTGGCTCATGATTGCAAAGGAAGAGGAAGAATAAACTTGTTTTTACTTTGTTAAAACAGAGAATTCCAAGATGTCCCAAAGGTATTCAGTCAGCCATGGAGCAGGAAGCAAAGAGGACTCCCCTGCAGTCATTGTTAAGAGGTCCAGCCTCAGAGGTTTCTGTTCCACCTCTTCCTTTCAGCACAGGGACCGTCATGAGTCGCCAGAGACTCTCAGCTCTCATAAGAAAGAAAAGGACCCAGTGTTATTCCAGGAGCATCTAGAAACTCCATGCCGAGGTTCCGCCAATCCTGCAGTATCTCCCACTCATAGAAAGAAACCTACTTTCCCAAGGAAAGAGAAGGGTGGGAGTCCAGAACTCTGTGAGACTCCTAAAGTCAGAAGGAAAACGTGCTCCTTACGCAGGCGGCTCGACTTATCTTTCGCTCTTCTGAAAGGGGATTCGGATCCACATAGCCGGTCTCTGGAAGGCAACATAAGCCACGTTGTTAGCCCAGAAAAGCGTTTCCCAGAGCAGGACAACTTTAGCTCATTGGTGACAGAGGATGGTACTTCCAGCAGTCAGAAGTTGAGGTTAAGGTTTTCTCAGCACAAGACTTCCACAGTTGATGATTCCACGGGAGAGTGTGGCTTATTCGGAGTGGAATGTCTGTCTCCAATTCAAGGCAATGATTTCAAAGGCTCTATCACGCATGACTTTAGCGACAGCAGTTTAAGTGTTAGTGATGAAAATACATGTCCTGAACTGGGCTCCTCTGGTAGCCAGGCAACCTATGGAGCAGAGGTAACCACGTATGTAACTCCAATAAGTAGTCTTATATCAAAAACTAGATTTAAGGGGAGCCAAACACTTTCTTCTTCAGCAGAAGTGAGAGACAGTGTTTCAACACCTGGAGACAGTGGTTTTAGCTCCCTTACCTGGGATAAGTCGGAAGATTCCATTTCTGACCAAGAGGGCTCTTTGCAAGACCTGTTTCAGAAGGGGACTCCCAGAGTGGGGGACCTCGTAAAAAATCCAAAGCATCCTGGAAGGTTGAGAAGACTGTCTACTCTTCGGGAGCAAGGCTCCCAGTCAGAAACGGAAGATGAAAAGCAGATGGTTACTCCCAACTCTGAAGCAAGAGTAGGTGCTGCTTCAGGCATCCTGGAGGGTCAGCAAGGCTCCTGTGAGATCAGGGATTGCTTTAAGAACTTATCAAATACCCCAGCCTTGCAGTTAGTGCATGAGCTCTTTATGAAAAGCAAAAGGAAGAGATTCCAGCAGGAAGATGACCAGGCATTCTTTGAGGAAAGGGATGAGGGGAAAATAGACAGACTGCGGCGTGTTCTGGCTGGACTGATTGGCAAGAAGATGGGCATAGAACAGCTGGATATCTTGACAGAATTACAGTATCGAAATTTGAAGCATATTTTAACTGTGGTTTTAGATTTCTTGACTTCAGAGAGTTTGTTCAGGTAAGAAATAAAAGTTGCTCATGGAAGAAAACGTTCATCATCTTTTAAACTGATGTTTGTTTTTTTTTTTTTTTTCTGTCTTCGGTTGTATTACCCATATCAGAGGTTGGTTAAGTGACCTCCCTAGTAGAGATTGCTAAGTAAGTCCTTCTATTTAAAAACAAAAATAAAAGATGGATCTAATGGTATAGGCCTGTAATCCCAGATAGCTGAGAAACTGGGGCAGAAAGGTTACTCAGGTTCTGGTTCAAGGTCAGGAAAAGAAAAATCAAGATGATGATGATGGTGGTGGTGGTGGTGGTAGTGGTATATGTATGTAGAAGCCAGAAGTCAATTCATAGTCTTCAATATTTCTTCATGGCTTTACTTTTTGAGACAAGGTCTCTTACTGAATGTGAAGATCACCAATTGGGCTGGGCAAGATCCCAGGATCCTCCAGATTCCACCTCCCCAACTGGGATTACAAGTGTGTGCCAGGCCTTTTATGTGGCTGATGATGGCCCAAATGCAGGTCTTTTGCTTACACAGCAAGCACTTTGCCAAATGAGCTATTTCCCCAGTCCCTCCTACCGTGTGTGTGTGTGTGTGTGTGTGTGTGTGTGTGTGTGAGAGAGAGAGAGAGAGAGAGAGAGAGATAGACAGACAGACAGACAGACAGTCAGACAGACACACAGAAAGAGAGACACGCAGACAGGGTCTCTTGTATCTGAGGCTAGTCTTGTACTCACAGTGTGGTTGAGGATGACCTTGAACTCCTGATCTTCCTGCCTCCACTTTCAGGTCCTGGTATTACAAGGTGTGTGCCACCATGCCCAATTTATGCCACAGATTTTTTAAAATGTTTTATTTAAAAGTTCACATCCCATTATAGATACAAATTGTTCTAAAGTTATGACACTTGATCAGAAATAAGAGAAATTATAGTAACTGAGAAACTATCACAAATAATGAACATTATTATTTCATCCAAATTCTAGAATCTAAGAAAAATAGCTAGCTCTCATTTTAGGCTATGGATATGCCTGTTTCTTTGTTGCTGACAGAGCAGAAAAAGACAGTTGTGTCTGAGAGGTTAGACTCTGCAGAACTCTGTCCACAGACACTGTGGTCGACTCTGCGGCACTTCATGGTTACAGAGAACAGCGGGGGTTTGAAGGGATGAAGGAAGGGGATCAGAATGACAATGCTGACAGTGTGTGGGGTCCAGGGCTGTCACAAGGCAGGACACCTCCGTTGTCATGTTAGCGAGAACAGGCAGAGGCTAGGACCACTCATGGACATCATTTCTCCCCTTTACCTGTGGGTCTTCAGGCTCGGTGGCAAGTATCTCATCTTGATGAGCCACCTCCTGCCTCGTGACTCTCCTTCTTCACAGGAAGACATGAAGTGTGGATTAGGTCTGTGTTATTTTTATAGCTACTGCTCCCACTGGCCTTTCTCCCACAGATCTATTTTAAGCTATTGTGGCAAGTTATACATTTTGTTGCTGGAAGTCTTCTGAGGTGTCTGATCTACCTGTGTAATTTGCAGATGGAGAAACATCCCTAGATGAAATAAATTTCCTGTAATAATCCAGAAATAGATGCAGGTCTGCCCCCCTGGGCTCTCTGTTCTTTCCAATATCTTCATGAAAACTCTTAATGTTAGGCCACCTTTCAGAGTATGTTTGGTAAAGCACATGTTGGTGTAACCCAGACGGATAACATGCACATACCCGTGCATTGGTGTGTGCCTTTCAAAGGTGTCTAAATATTAGCATGGCTGAACACAGGAATGTCAGCATATCTCAGTACAGGGAAGTCAGAATGTCGGGTGACAATTTGGGTGGCTGCTTGTGTGATTCACTCGTACTGGTCATACTTCAGTGATTCCTGCCCCTCCCTCCCTGTGGAGCTGTTTGTCACAAAGAATGTGTGTTTATGGTCTGAATGGTGCTCTTCTTGGTAACATGAGCGATGATGAGATAGTTATGGAGAAGAGAGTGTGTGTGTGCATGCTCGTGCATGCCATGACAGTCACGGAGGCCAGAGGACCATGCGTGTTTGTACTCATGCATGCCATGACAGTCACGAAGGCCAGAGGACTGTATGTGTGTGTGTGTGTGTGCGCACACGCGCACTCGTGCATGCCATGACAGTCACGGAGGCCAGAGGACCGTATGTGTGTGTGTGTGTGCGCACACGCGCACTCGTGCATGCCATGACAGTCACGGAGGCCAGAGGACCGTGTGTGTGTGTGTGTGTGTGTGTGTGTGTGTGCACGCTCGTGCATGCCATGACAGTCACGGAGGCCAGAGGACCGTATGTGTGTGTGTGTTGTGTGTGTGTGCATGCCATGACAGTCACGTAGGCCAGAGGACCACTTTGTGTGTGTGTTGTGTGTGTGTGCATGCCATGACAGTCACGTAGGCCAGAGGACCATGCGTGTTTGTACTCATGCATGCCATGACAGTCATGTAGGGCAGAGGACCGTATGTGTGTGTGTGTGTGCGCGCACACGCGCACTCGTGCATGCCATGACAGTCATGTAGGCCAGAGGATCACATGTGTGTGTGTGCATGCGTGCTCGTGCATGCCATGGCAGTCATGTAGGCCAGAGGACCACTTTGTGTGTGTGTGTTGTGTGTGTGCATGTCATGACAGTCACGGAGGCCAGAGGACCACTTTGTGTGTGTGCATGCGTGCTCGTGCATGCCATGGCAGTCATGTAGGCCAGAGGACCACTTTGTGTGTGTGTGTTGTGTGTGTGCATGCCATGACAGTCACGGAGGCCAGAGGACCTCTTTGTGTGTGTGTGTGTGTGTGTGTGTGCACGCTCGTGCATGCCATGACAGTCACGGAGGCCAGAGGACCGTATGTGTGTGTGTGTGTGTGTGTATGTGTGTGTTGTGTGTGTGTGCATGCCATGACAGTCACGTAGGCCAGAGGACCACTTTGTGTGTGTGTGTTGTGTGTGTGTGCATGCCATGACAGTCACGTAGGCCAGAGGACCACTTTGTGTGTGTGTGTTGTGTGTGTGCATGCCATGTCAGTCATGTAGGCCAGAGGACCACTTTGTGGAAGGACCTCTCTACTTCCACCTGTATGTGTGATCAGACTCAGGTTGACCCATGGTTCTGGCTCCCCTTTTAATGGGTGACTTTCTCCCCACCTCCTTGAGAGATAAAGCACACAGATGGACTTAGGTGATGACACCTGCAGTTGTGTTGATAACTGGAGAGTTGCCCGGGCCCTCGAGGTGAGCGCCTTCTTTCTCAGTCTCCTGGTCTCTTTCCCTGACTGGCTAAATTAGGAAGAGAGAGAAAGGCCAGATTAACATTTCTTCACTAAGAGGCTGAAGCTGATCTCCAGCTGCATCCGTCCTACCTGAGCTTTATGAATAAAATAGGGACACTCTCGGCAGCAGGGTGCTCTTAGCCTAGAAGCAGCAGCCTGTATCACTAAGGGCGCTGTGCACAGTATAGCTATTGTTTGGCATTTAAGTGAAGGGTTCTTCTTAAGTTCATTTGGCCAGAAGTGCCAGAGATTGGCTAGATACAGGAATGGAAGAAAGCGTCTCATACTAGATGGTCATCATGTGCTGCTTGTTGATTTCAGAATTTATAGTGGAATATCATATGACCCTGATATCCCAGTGGCTCATGTCTGCTTTATGATTTTTGCTGTTGCTGTATCCCAGCCTGGCCTTGCATTCACAGCAGCCCTGCCTCATCTAACCAAGTGCTTGGATGTCAGGTCTAAACCACCATCCATGGCCTATGTTGGCTTACAGGGTTGGCAGCGTGGTTCAGCAGGTAAGAGCACTTGCCGCCAATCCTGCCGGTCTGAGTTCAATCCCCTGGTCCAACACTGGAGAAGAGAACCAAGTTTCACTGGTTGTCCTCTGACTGGACTCAAGAACCATGACATGTATTTGCCTTCCCCTGCTCCTAATACCTAATAAATAAATAAATGAATATTTTTTTTAAAAAAATTAAAGGAATGTAAATGAAATGGCAATCTGTCAAGTTGCCACTATGTGCTTAGTATTTTAATAGGAATTCTTTCATATGGTGAATGAATCTGAAACAATGAGTTGATCAAATCATATCATATGTAATTTTAACCTTAAATTTCCTGTTCAAGATCTTTAAAATATTTTTATTATTGGTTACCTTACAAAAAATTTCAACCTTTGGAGAATATGCAGTAACAGCCTGACTTGTTTATTGTAGTGTTTGGAATGTCAGCAGAAACTGGCGTGAAATTGTGGCTCAGGATAAAAAGGCAAACGAGAGGCGGAAACTTTATATCATACAGCTGAAATCCAATACTCAGGTAACGGGGGAATCCTGCCGGAAGTGGTTTGTAGCCGGTAACTCCACGTTGTTGAGCACCACGCTTGGCCTCTCTCATCTGTGAATCTTTCCCAGTTAGCCAGCATCCCCTGAGAAGTTCTCATTTTCTAAACTACTTCCAGATCGTCCAGAAAGTATGTCGGGGAGCAGCTTCGACAAGGATACCACTTACCAGGGTAGGGGCATGAGGATTAGAAAAATGTTAAGTAGGAAGAAGAGAGATAAGACAGAGTCCCTGAGACACAGGCTAGAAATGGGAGCGCAACTCGGCAAACACTGAGTGCTGAATCACCGCATTTATTTTCCATACACTTTACTACCCAATACAACAGGGGAGAAGGCAAAAGGCTGCTTTAACACAGTACAAAGGACAACTAGAACAGTTACTGGCTTCAAGGCAGGTGCACTGTCTGGCTTCTTAAAGGACTACATTTTTTCCTTATACATTTTTTTCTTATTTTAGTTTGCTAACAGAGCTCCTTCAAAACACAACAAACTTCAAAAGTACAGCTGGATTCTAGGTTTCTAACAAAGCTCATCATCCTCCTTGCCATGTCTGTGGACAGTGTCTGACTCTGTATTCCAGGCTTTCTTAAAACTATGCAACCATGATGGCCTCAAACTCATGGTAGTCCTCCAGCCTTACCTTCCTGAGTGCTGGGATTACAGGTTTGAGATACCACAGTAGCCTCTGGTCTCTACTTCTATTTCTTGTATTTCTAGATAATGCACTTAGAATGCTATTTTTTATTTTTTTGAATCCTGATTTCTCTGTGTAGCCCTGACTGTCCAGAAACTCATTTTGTAGTCCAGGCTGGCATTGAACTCAGAGATCTACCTGCCTCCGCCTCCCGAATCCTGGGATTGAAAGCGTGTGCTAGCATGCCCGGACAATATTTGTTATTTTATCTGGAGGGGATTCGGTCAGTTCTCCAGGCACTCAGCACTAGCACCACTCCCCACCACCCTCTCTGGATCTCTCTCCTGTCTTATGACCAGAATTACATCACCATTTATGGTGGATCAGACGTGAGCATGACCCAGAGGCCATGTGAAGGGTCTTATGACATGTACCCTATTGTTAAGCTTCTGTGTTTTCTTTTTTGAGAGGGTCTCACTGTGAAAGCCTGGAACTCTGCATGTAGACAAGGTCAGCCTTAAACTTGTGGCAACCCTCCTGCCTCTGCCTCTTGAATGCTGGGACTATGGGTGTGTACTTAGTGTGTTTGTATGTGTGCACATATTCATGTGTGTGTGCACACGTGGAGGCCAGAGGCCAATGTCAGGTGTGCTTGTCTGTTGCTCTCTACCTTACTTTGGTGGCAGAGCTTCCCTCAGTGAACCTGGGGCTCAGCAGCTTGGCTTAGCTGGGCTTCTCCTAACTTGAGGGACCTGGTTGTGCCCGGCCAGGACTGGAGTTACAGGCATGAACCACTTTGGCCAGCTTCTACATGAGTGTTGGGCATCCATACTTAGCTGCCCATTCTTGCACGAACCCTCTCCTTGCTGAGCCGGCTCCCCAGACTGGGTCCCTAGGCTGGCCTTGAACTCCCCGATCCTCCTGCTTCTGTCCCTCTAGTGCCAGGATTACTGCATGTGCCATCACGCATGCACATGTACTGTCTTATGTGTCTTCCTGTGGGACTTTCTCCCAGACTTAACGATTGCCAGTTCTATTGCTGCCTCTCTCCGTGTCTGTCTCTCCCAACCCCAGTGTGTCTCTACCTGTGTCTCTCCTCTTGGTGTTTTTCTCTACAGATTCTGGATTGATTTTCCTTTATTTGCAAGGACTGTGATCTCCTCTGTGCTTTCCAACACATTCTGCCTTTCCTCCTTTTCCCCAGAGATCACCTTCCCAGACCCTGTGCCCTCCTATTCCACAAGAGCCCGTAAATTTATGCCTGGCCTATCTTGATGAGCCACTAGCTAAAACTTCTAGAAACATCTCAAAACAAAGCTGTTTGGCAATTTTCCTCAGGTTGTACAGAAAGGTGTCTCAGAAAGGTGCAAGGCTGGGAACATTCACTAAGAGCTGAGCCTCTTCTGTTCTCCAACATTAGAGCAGTGTGGGCGCCTGCTGGACCGGGATCAGTGCCTTTCCCCCGAGAGGCCTCATCTCTTCCTCACTGTTGGCACACACTGTGGAATGAACGACCCTTAGACAGCTCCATCTTCACAGAGGCAGGTGGGTCTCTGGGTACGGGCCAAGCAAGTGTGAGGCCAACAGGACTACAGGCAGGAGAACTATGTTTTCTAGACTGTCAGCAGGCATGACACGTGCCTTTGCAGGTTGCTTTGTCTCTTAGACATTAAAAACAAAACCAGAAGAACTGCAGCCAATTCGACATCCCATAAATACTTGCTAAATGAGTGGTTGCTGCTTCTCAGTTTACTTACGCTGACACCTTGATTCATCTTGGGGTGCATGCACACGGCACTTTTCAGAGTCAGGGTCCAGCAGGCGTCCTTTCAGGGAGCTCTTTATTGGGCACTGTGGCCTATGCCACAAATAACAGAAATGTCATAAAGACAGTCCGCCAGCAAGTTCAATATATGCACCTGCATCCGAGCTCTAACTCCGACGTCAACAGCAGCCACTGCGTGTGTTCTAAAACCTCCACCAATTGAATCCCCTACCCCTAGTCTACTGTACTTCCTCATGTGTTAGTTCTCCTGCTGGGGCCAATTCCAGCCCGGGAGGCTCCCAGGAGAAGCAGCACAGTGACAGCTGAGCTGTAAGGAAACTCATCCGTGTGTTCATCCCCATAGTTGGTTCGTCCAGTCTGCTTTTAAGAGGAACCTTTCCCATTGCAGCCCTAACAAAGTACAAGACTACAGATTATTATCCAACATGCTTTTTTCTAATTATTTTTTCCAGTTTTATTGAGGTATATAATTGACAAAAGGACAGTGTATACTTCTAAGGTGTACAAGCCAATTAGCACACTTCTTAACGCACATTTGAGTAATGTGGGATCTCGTTCATACGAGAGATGCTTTTGCTCCTTATTTTAAAATATCGAGGCTGTATAAGACAGCCATAAAAGTGAATCAGAACCAGATCTTTGCAAGTCAGCCACAGACACGGGGTTATGTGATGTCAGCCATCCTCGTGTCTGTCCACCCTGTGCTTAAGGTAAGAGCGTGCAAAGATTCCACGGCAGGCTTTGAAAAGATTCTCCCCTCTCCCCCAATTTTGATCTTGGTTTAAAAATGGACTGCAGACTATGGCTTGTAGGCCAAGTCCTTTCTGTCCCTCGATTCTCAAAGTAAGTTTGATTGGACAGCGTTTCTCTTGGGTATTTCTGCTGTCGAGCCCAGAACTGAGCAGCTGTGGTCACACAGCCTGCAGACTACCACAATGCTATTACACCGTCGGATTCCTCAGAGGAGAATTTGTCAGTAATAGACAAATGGCTCAAATGAAAAAGTAATTGATCATCTCCAAAATATACATGATGAGAGAGAGAGAGAGAGAGAGAGAGAGAGAGGGGGGGGGGGGTCAGGACAACTGTGGGGATCTGGCTCTTGCCTCCCTTCCACCTTGCTGGTGCAGGAGCTCTCTCGTTTAGGCTGCTGTGCTGTCGAGCTCCTGGCCTTCCTCCTGTCTCCACTCCCCACCACCACCTCAGGCTGTCAGGATTTCATGGCTAGCACACTTACCTGCAGAACCATCTCCAAACCTGCTTTCTTTGACTTAAAAGTTAGGTGGGAAAAGATTGCTTGTCCCCCAACTCCTCCAACTCCCAAAAGAGATCCTGGTGGTATAACCCACTCCTAGACACTGAACTCCAGGCCAGGCAGGAAGCTGCCCTGACTTGGAACACTTGCGATGTTGGTTCTCGGTCTTTACTACAGGCGGCTGTGTTCCATGTTCAGGACGCTGCCACTCGGCTCCAGCTTCTCAGCCGCTCAGCTTTAAGAACAGTGCAAGCACAGGCGCAGGCACCCACTTCTCAGAACGAGCAGGTGCCAACTGTGTCCCCTTGGGGAGATGTTCTGACTCCTGTAGCAAGCTCTTCCCTCACCCACCTGAGGAGTAAACAGGAAGAGTATGTTAAGGTGAGTATGGACCCTAAGTTGTTGGAAATAGAGTTTGGAATAAAGTGACCATCGGTGTCACACTGGAAGACTGAGTGTCGTGCTTCCGCTGCAGGTTGCCAGCACGCTTTTCAGTGATGAAGCTTTAAAACCTTGCCCAAGGTGCCAATCCCCCGCTAAGTACCAGCCGTATAAGAAAAGGGCTCTGTGCAGCCGTTTGGCCTGCGGCTTTGACTTTTGTGTGTTATGTCTGTGTGCTTATCATGGGTCTGAAGAATGTAGAAGGAGGTCGGCGAAGCCACGAAATCGTAAAGATGTTCTCCCAGGGAGTGCCCAAAGCAAGCGGAATTTAAAACGGCTCTAAAGAGACTAAGGAAACAATCCCCGTTGGCCCGTATTCTGTCTGACTTAAAATTATGACTGTTTTGAACACATGCAAATCTTCCCGTTGATGATAAATGGTGATTATTTATTTTTCTGTTTTGTATATGTTACATTGTACGCTATTGTATATTTTCTTTAAAGTGATGCATTTGAGAGTTTTATTTTACATTATATCCCCACTTTCAATAACTTAATGTTTTAAATAAAGAATTTTCAGGGTTTTTACAGGTGTGTTTTACTGCTTTATGTAACTTTTTAAATTTGTGCATTTTGTAACTGTGTTGAAATCCTCAATTGTTTTTCTTTTAAAATATTTTCGAAATAATTTGAAAAATATTAAACTTTAGGCCAATGTACTTACAGGTTTAGAAAATGAGCTAATGGCTGAAATTAAATATAAATAAAATGTTTTTAGAAGTTCCATCAAATATAATCCATAATTTCAATCTTTCTCTTATTTGCTATTGTACTAGACTTTTGGTTCAGTTAAATTTACTTAACAACTTAAGTGTCAGTTATGGAGATGCTGTAGTTACCCATCCAATAAGTCACCCATATGGAATTGCATTAACAACTCCCTGTAAGTCACACATTTATAATTAACTGCTTAAAATTCTGGAATTATAGTCACAGATTCTGTCATTTTGTAAGATTTGGGCTAAGTGGAAAAGATGGGCTTTGAATGGGAAAATGTATGAAGTTATTGCTAATAGACACTATCATTTATATGTGTTTATAATGTGTCTTTTTCCAAGAACAATTTCAGTGGCAAAAGAGCTAAATTTTATTGTTGAAAAATTAGTATAAGAAAGGACCTTTTTTGTTTGTTTGTTACTTCGAGACAGGGTCTCACTGTGTAGCTCTGGCTGTCCTGGAAGTCACTCTGCAGACCAGACTCACAGAGATCTGCCCGCCTCTGCCTCCTGAGTTCTGGGATTAAAAGCATATGCCACTACAAGGGGGGATTTTCTTTTTAAAATGATTTTATTTATTTTTATTTTATATGCATTGGTGTTTTATCTGCCCACATGTCTGTGTGAGGGTGTCGGATCTCCTGGACCTGGAGTTACAGACAGCTGTGAACTGCTGTGTGGGTGCTGAGAGTTGAACCTGGGTCCTTTGGAAGAGCAGCCAATGTTCTTAACTATGAGCCACCGCTCTACAACCATAAGAGGGAAACTTTGACAGCAGATTTAGAAACTGTGTGCTTGGTAACTGTTGCATGAACAATGTATGTGTTCACACTACACACATATGTTTAAATGTTGTCCTTAACACACATTATTTAGGAAAATGACTCAAGTGTTTTAAGATTTATATATCTCTATATATGTGTATATATGTTCTATTTTAATATCTATATATCTATATATATGTATATATATGTTCTGTTTGGCTCTAAGTTGAACATCTCCCCCCATTTCTTTATTTTTCTTTTGACAGACTTTTAATTTGTAGCTCAGGCTGGCAAGGAAGTTACTATATAGCCAGGTTGACCTTGAGCTCAAGGCAATCCTCCTGTCTCAGCCTACTGAGCGCTGGCTGGGATTGCAGGCCACCACACCCATCTTGGAGTCTGTTTAATTCTGCACCAGGGCCAATTTACAAACATTTACTGTGATCTTCGCTGTTTCCCGCATAGAGGCTTTTAAATGTACTTTTAGGAATTGACTTCAGTCTGATTCTCTTACTGCATGAAATTCCCTCTTTGCACTCACTGACGGCCCTGGGAAGCGGCTCACAGACCCCATATGTGACAGCAATTCATGTTGCTGCTCATATGGAAAACTGTGGTAGATGTGCCCAGGCCTTGGTCCTAAATGGACCATGGAGTCAAGGTCTAAACTGCTCGCCAGACTGTCTGCCTGAGCACAGACACACTTGAGAGGGCTCTGTCCTCCCTCACCGTGATGCTGAGGAGCTCAGCTGCTAGTGACTGTCTCTTCAGCCCGGAGGAAATCATCTCATTCCTTCTACTGTAACAGGAGGCTGGGGGTCAGGCAGGCGACTGTGTGAGGTCAGGACGATGGCAGAGGTAGTTCCTGTTTGTGCAGGACAGCTCTGTTTGAGAACTCAAAACGTGTGTGTTTACAATGCCTTAAATGGGAGATGGCTTTGGCATTTAACAATTTTCTTGGCCTGCTCGGGAAAAATTCTAATTACAAATAATTCTACATGAGTAATTTCTGCATTCCTGCGCGGCTTAAACAACTCTGTCAATCAAAACGTCAATGAAGCCTGACACGGTGGCAAATTCTCATTATCCCAGCATGGGAGGAGCAGGGGGAAGGAGCGGGAGCCCATCATCATCTCTGCTTCCTCAACGCACCTGAGGTTGACCTGGGCTGCCTAAGATCCTGTCTCAAAAACCAAAAATGAAACAAAAAACAACAATCCCCCTCAAAAAACACAACTTAAAGCAAGGGAAACAAACCAAAGCCATTGTGATCATGTCAGCAGTCCCCAGGCTGCTAAACCTCAAGACAAACACACTCCGAGGGCAGTGCTTTCCTATGGGTACAGAAAAGCGCATTTAAATATATCATAACCTTTTAAAGAATTAGGTTTTCTTGTGGATTTATTAAGATTTAAATTGCAAATTATTAAAGGGTTTTTTTTTATGTTGCTAGCTTTTAAAAACCACCACCACCAACAAACCAAACCAAAACAAAACCCCCACAGGTTCTCCTACGCTCTGTACGGAGTCAAGGACAGCCCAAGGACCTGTAGGTGTGTGCTAGCATGACGGGTCTATGGGCTGCTGGCAGACAAGGCACACCTCTAGCCCAAGAGACAGTTATTTTAATATATTTGTATTAATTTTTTAGAATTTCATATGTGCATACAATGTAATTTGATACGAGAAACATTTTGATACCTTGGCATGGTGTTAACTAAGTTCTAAAATACGTTTATTTTAAACTGTGTGTATTTGTGTCTGTGTATGGGTACGTGCACAGGAAGGCAGGGGCCCGAGGGGGGTGTCAGATCCCATCAACCTGGAGTTAGACATGGTGGGATACCCACCGTGGGTGCTGGGAACTGAACTCGGGTCCTTTGTGAGGGTCGTACTTGCTCTTAGCCTCTGAGCCATCTCTCCAACCGCCAAAGCTGAGTTCTATTCCCTTGGCTTAGGCAACTGTATAAATCACAGTTATAAATTCATGACACAAATATTTACTGAGGACTTGGGCACTTAATAACTTACATTCCTTGGGGGCTGGAGAGATGGCTCAGTGGTTAAGAGCATTGCCTGCTCTTCCAAAGGTCCTGAGTTCAATTCCCGGCAACCACATGGTGGCTCACAACCATCTGTAATGAGGTCTGGTGCCTTCTTCTGGCCTGCAGACATACATGCAGACAGAATATTGTATACATAATAAATAAACATTTAAAAAAATTACATTCCTGTTCATGTTATTTCTTTAAATTATTTCTGTTTAAAATAGCATTTTTTCTTTTTTTTAAATTGATTTTTATTGAGCTCTAAATTTTTTTCTGCTCCCCTCCCTGCCTCTCCCCTACCCTTCAGCCCTCTCCCATGGTCCCCATGCTCTCAATTTACTCAGGAGATCTTGTCTTTTTCTACTTCCCTAAAATAGCATTTTAAAGGATCAAATTACCCACTCATTTCAAACTCTGAGCAGCAGTAACTTTTCAAAGAGAATACTGAAATTTCCACTAGGGGGCACCAAAGACTTATTTATAGTGATAAGGGCCTTTTACAAGTAAATTTAGCTTTTATGAATTTGACACAAACTATGGCATTTCCAAATAGAGGAACTGTTTCTTCAGTTTTTAAAAATGTAGAATAAATTTGGGAAGTAGTTATTACTCAGTTATTTTGGCTGGCTTGAGCGTGTATAACATTTTCCAGGATGCTAACAGAGAAAACACTTGCTTGGTGGAGCCAGGCGTACACTTTGAACACGTTAACTCACCCACTAGACGTGCGCTCCTGGCCCCCTCATCACAGACTGGGGACATGCGCAGATGAGTGTGCACTGTGAAAATGGCGTCATGCTGTTTTCCTTCCAGCGGTTCCATTCCTGCAGGGGTGTGTGGGGGAGCAAGGAAGCAATGTGGGTACACGGTTTAGCACAAATAACCTGGAGCCAGATGTTTTCTGGAAACATCTGTGGTGATGTCAGGATATTACTAAGTTGTAAGTGCTAGTTAGTAATAATCCTGAGCTATTGGCCAAGCGTTTATAATTTATATTAAGTCTCCATTTGGCTATTTGGGAAGTGGTGGGCAGGAAAGAAAAGTCCACCTGCACTAGTTCCAGTGAATCCCACGCTTTTCCTGCCTCTGTCATTTGTACAAACATTCATAGTCTTAAAAGGGATGTTTGTTTAGGGCGTATTTATCAAACATTTACTGTATCATGGTGAACTTTGTTGTAGCTGCTAGAGGTATCAGAGATACCATATTCATTCAAAATAATCCCTTAAGGGTACCAGAGAGATGACTTGGGGGTTAAGTGCATTGGCTGGTCTAGAGGACCTGTGTTCAGGTTCCAGCATTATCTGGTAGGTAGATCACAACAGTCTGTCCCTCCAGTTCCAGTGGATCTGATGCCCTCTTCTGGCTTCTGGAGGCCCCAGAATATGTGGCACACAGACATGCATGCAGGCAAAACACACTACACATAAAATTATCACTGAGAGCCTTCAAATTTATTTTCAAAAAGGAAAGCAAGTTTGGAAAGAAGAAACACAAGGTGAGGGGAGAGAAGAGAAAAACAGGAAGTGCGTTCTTTAAAAGAAAGTATTTTATATGATGAGTGTTTGCCTGCATGTATGTCTGCACTGTGTGCATGTTATGTGGTCAGTGTTTGCCTACATGTATGTCTGTGCACCGTGCGCATGCATGACTTGTGCCCAAGGAAACCAAAAGAAAGCATTGGATCCTCTAGGACCGGTGTAATCCATGGTTGCTAACTGCCACGGGAGTGCTAGGAATCGAACCCAGGTCCTC